CTATTGGTTGTCCTAAAAGTCGCTAGAAGTCGCTAAATGATGTCATTGCCTAATTTGCATAATTGGTCATGCTAATCTAATTGTAACCTATGTTGTTGGAGAGAGAAATAACATTGTGGAAGAGACATAAAGTGAGTAAAAAACGTCCTAAATGCATTAAGAGTTTATTTAGAACTACAAATTAAATTTCTTTTAGCAATTATTGTTTTTTTTAATGTCACAATTCCAACCCTGCTCCTTTACCCGGGCTTGGACCGGCAAGTGACCCGAAATAGGCACTCTGGTGGAGTTACTTTGTGTGTGTGTGTTTATAAGTAGTTTTAAACCTTGTGATCCACAAAACAGCATAAGAGTCAAAGAGTAAAAGAAGAACTGACTGCGTTACAGCACCCGCTGCTTGTTGAGAGTAAAAGCGATACGCGCTTTAACGTTGTTGTTTTTTTAGAAAAAAAGTCGCTAAGGGGTCTGAAAACTAGCTAAATACAGCGACAAAGTCGCTAAGTTGGCAACACTGCCTTGTACATGCAGTGCTGCCATCTTCTGTTTCAGTCCATTATTACACTCTTAAATCCTGCTACTTATTCCTGCGTCTTTTGGGATCTTACAAAGCATCAAACGATGCGTCGACTATTAAATTAGTCGTCGACGATTTTGATAGTCGACGTAATCGTGACTAGTCGACTAATCGTGGCAGCCCTAGAAGACATTGAACGTTTGCATCACTTGTATTATAAGAACAATTACTAGCTGCTTTCCTGTACAACCATTTTCAACACAGAAAATGACTCCATGTTAGCCCCCATTACTTTCCATTATGAATGCTACCGACATGACAGAGATTTCTGGTTTTGGACATACAGGAGCACTTTTTTCTATAATGTGTTGTGTTCCCAGAGAAGACAAGTACCAAACTGAGAGCCCCTTTAAAAGAAGGTGTTACTTTATCTCCTTAGAAGTGACACAATGGTCACTTATGCTGCCATCACACTTATAATGAGCTAGTGAGGTGCAATTAGCTCCCACATATTGTTCCACACCATGTTAAAATTTTAGAGTCTAAATACTCCAGGACCGGGAAATAAAACTGCAGGGCTTCAGACAGAAATGTGCTGGTGCCTGTCACACTTACACACACACAGAAACAAAACAGCCCTCCTCAAACAAGTTGCCTCTATAAGTTGTATGTTAATTAAACTTTTGTCAGAGTATTAGCTTCTATTTTCCGACCCTGCGCCCTCCATTCAGCAGTCACGTCTTAAAATACATATACAAATACACGAGCAGACACACACAGACTTTCAAATGTATAGCCACCACATGTTTCAGTTACATGTTTCAGAACAAGATGACTAGGTGCCTGACAACCTCAGTGATGGAGGAGATGTGAGGGTGGGAGGAAAAAAAAACGTTACCCTAGCGTGTTAGTTTTCTGCCAGGGAGTCCCTATTGACCTGTTAAACCTTTGTGACTGGAACAAATGCAAATGGCGCTGACTTGTTCACACAACATACTAAAGGCTCATTCAAATGAGGCCCCGGGCCACAATGAAGCAGTGGCCGAGCACTCTGTGGAGGCTGGGCAGCCCCCAGTCTGAGAGAGAGAGAGACAGACAGAGATTCATTTTGCCATTGCACAGTTCATTCCAGTTGTCTGGTAGAGAGCAGTCATCCACTCTGATTACTTCTCCTTCATGAACACAGACACACACACACACACACACTCACAAGATAAAATTACCTTACACCTCTCCTGTAATTCTGTGCTTACTAAATCACACTGTTACACTGCACTGAACTTTACCCTGTAATTACCTTGTCTGTAATACTTTGTAACTGGATGCTAGCGGACGTGAACTGCTCCTGTTATCAAGTATGACACCACTCATCCTTGATAATGACACACTGGTTAATACACTCTAGCTTTCGCAAAGATACTGACTGTGCCCCAATGACTAATCACTTTTTAAGTCTGTCCAGCCAGCACAGAACAGGAAATGAAGTTGTAAAGAAATGAATAGAGACTGGAAGAAAGTGGCAGAGCAATACAACTCAAAGGCTAAATAACAGATAAATTATATGAATAAACAGAAAAAAAATAACTCTATCAGTAACAGCAATAATGACTACAATCAAGTCTATCACAGTTCATGTCAAAAATGAAAGTATGAGTAAGATATTTACAGCCTCAGAAATGGAAAAGAGCCAGACAATCCAATTGAGGTTTTTCATAATAAGAGCATGAGCTGAGGTATTCAAACTGAGATACAATATTTGTATGAGTCAGTCCACAACTGGGTTATGAAAACAAAAATCTACAGTATGTAAACAACGTTAAAATGCTAAAAAGGAATGCAGCCAAAACACTGCGGGGAAGCCTAGGATTAAAAAATGATTTTTAAAAAAGACCATGTCTCTGCGATTCCCCCCGGTCTGTACACATCTATTGTGTTTATTTCTTGTGCACAGTGTGTAAGAATGTTTAAAAAAAACAAAAAACAAATTAGAAGCTCAGCTTCACTATAATGTTTTAAGAAGCAACTATTAAAAACAATTAAATTAAAATTGTTTTATGCGTAACACACAGCAACAAAATACCTCATTGTGATATTGGAGTATTAGCCTTTTAACAGAATACAACATGCTAGGGTGGAAATAAAGTAGAGCTCTTTTGCTCCATCCCCTTTCTTCAAGCAGGAGATTAGTGGGAGCCTGAGGATGACTCTCACGCGCACATATGGACAACACCTGACCTGAGAGAAGCTGCCTACTGGACCTCCACTAAACTGGATTTATCAAATGAAGGGTTTTATACCAAAGAAGGGATGTAGTGGGATGTAGACCAACTACTGCAATTCAGTGTAGCGACCTAGATCCAATACTCTGTGAACATGTAGAAGTTCAATTTTGATGGTTAATTTGATGTACAGATGTTGTTTTATTTAAAGAATTTACAGCTACAGAACTCACTCTCTCTCTTTCATATATATATATATATATATATGCTTGGAAACAAGCGTTAAAACTTGGGATTTATTTCAATGTGTAAACATGAAGCTGAGATGTGCTGCCCATGCTGTATAAGGAGTGACATCTGCAGAGGTCACACATGAGCTAAAACTCTGCAGAAAAAGAGCAGAGGAAATTTAGAGAGAGGAGAAACCGAGGAGACAGATCAGACGTCTAACCCCATTTACAAGTACTTTTTATTGCTCTGTTAAAGTTTGTTTTGCAGGCCTGAAAAGCTCGCTACATAACACAACACAATGACTGCAGTAGGTTAAATAATTAGTGATTTTCTATTTAAATATTCATATAAATTGTACTTACTACTTTTTATTCTTTGACTCCTCCCAAAACATGTTTTTATACTTTCTACTTGTCTTTTTTTAATATTAACATTTCTCTCTACATGTCTTTGTACCAGATTTTTACACAAAACACGAAGCTTACATAAGACACATGGATACACTTTTAATTTCCATCGCCGGACACCTGGAGCAGCTCCAACATTAAACCACTGCTTTAATCAATAGTCTACATTATAAAGTTATTATTATACTGTAGAGGACTACTTCCTATTGAGTTCATTAAGTTCTTAATTTTTGGAATACTTTGCTTCCAATTCATTTTAATTTTTTACACAAGATTTTAACTTTAAACTTAAGTGGATTAGTTCCACTCATCACAGAAAAAGGACACAGGTCACACGCAGAAGCAAACTGAGCTGTCACAACTAAACGAAAATTATAATGAACTCTTTTGGCCGACTCCAGTCAAAAGCATATCCTGCAGCCAAGCACTGTTCAAAAGCACAGAACTTTATTTCATGTTCTAGTGAAGCTCCAGATGCTTCCAAACATACTAAACATGTCATGTTGAATTATGAGAAAGTGCTGGAAAACCGATGTGTGAAACATGCAAATATTTTGCAGTTAATCTAACCATGGGGCTGGAAAACAAGAGCACTTTAGGGTTCGATACTTTGTTCAATACAGTCAGTAAGTACTGTGGCATCTATGCCGAGTACTGCATGAGAAATACACAGTAGTGTTTGGAGGACGTTTTTTTCTTACTTAAAAAGAAGCACAAAACAAGATTAAGAGGAACATCACATTACCAGTGGTCCGAGTAAACTCAGTGAACTTTTGTGAGCTTGATATTGATCTCATGGCAATGAATCAGCCAACTCCACCCATGTGGTATTCTATGCAAGTCAAAACAAACATAATTCCAGTAATCCCTTGTGTTTTCGTCAAGAATGTTATTCATTCAGGTGCCTTCAAAGTTTACCCACATTCATTTGGCACAAAAGAAGTCTTGAATCGTCTCCTTCTAATTTCTATTTCAGCACTTTATGCCCAAGGATAACCATAGGTGCCCTTATTAACTAAAAAACCTCTCCTTCCTTGCACAGATCATGGAAAACTCAGTTTTGCAACAAATGCATGACAACATCATTTGTTCTGATTTACAAGGAATCAAATACTTCACAGAACAGAACTAAAATGATTAGTTATCACACATAACCACCCCTATAGGCAGGCCCATGTGGCTTTCAGTGGGAATCTCCAAGTTCGGCAGTCCTGTTGGACAAACTGTGACTCATCACTCAAATCTGATTATGCAGTTTGACTCTTAATCATCCCATTTTATGTCACTCTGCCACTTTGACTTTCACAAAAGTTGAGGAAAGATGCCTCGAGTGTGCATACATCTTGAGCAAACTCTACTTGAAAACCCTCAATGACATTACGAAGTACAGATTTCACAGTGACTAAATTTCAGTTCCCATTTCAGCCTTCAAACTTTCGTCCCTTTTATAATTAAAAAATTATAAAGAGATGATGGACAAAGACAGAAAAGTTATATAGGTTTGAATTGATGTTTTTGATTTTCATTTATTATAATACAAAAAATATATATGCTACCCTTTCAGCAGGCATAAGAGTGTTGAATAAATTAGCATGGATCTCTGTGCCCTTCAAACAAATGTATGCTCACCTGCTTTACAATGTCTGAGGCCCTGTGGGTTCTCGTTCTCCTCGATGTGCTGCCCTGCACCTTAAAAAGAGAGAGAGAGAGAGAAAAGGGTCAGTTTACAAATTAGCATTGGGGATGATCGCCACTCTGTTGCTTCAACCTGCACTGTGAAAAAATGATCGAGATCTGTGATTGATTAGGATTTGTGGTGCACCGTTTTGTTGCGTGCTGTTCTCTCACAGTGTGCCAGCAGAAGCTGGGAATGACACATCGACACTGGAACATTTCTGCTGCTACTTATCGTCGCTGTATGGCAGAAGACCAGAACAATAATATTTACACTTTGTTTCAACCATAAGTTTTCGTTTTCATGAAATAATCGTGTTTAACTGCAATCATAAAGAATAAATATTAAATATATCTGTTAACATATATTTTCATATACAAAAAAGGACATTGATATACCTCATGAAGTACAGATTGAGTTGTTCAAATCAGCATAAAAACTATAACTTTTACCCATTATGGGGCGTCATATTTGTCTATCAAGAATTCAAAAGCAAACTAAAATAATTTTAGATAGATAGATAGATAGATAGATAGATAGATAGATAGATAGATAGATAGATAGATAGATAGATAGATAGATAGATAGATAGATAGATAGATGTAAGTAGTATCAAATATTAGCCACAATTTTAATGTAATTGTTATTGCACTTTAATGCAACTTTACAGAGCAAACTTAAATATAATTTTATTTAAAAAGGTGCAATATGCACAACACCTTGCTATAGGAGGAGGACACTCTTTAGCATCTAGAGCACAAGCACATCAGAGCTAAGGGTCTCCTTTTCTTGCATCGCCAGACACTGCTGCAGCTTAGAAGTGATCTATCCCACAACCCCACCCTCATTCAGTCTTTTCCCCTGACCTCAGCATCACCTGATGCCTGCTGTTGGGTTAGGGACACTGAACGCACCACAAACAAGGAGTCATTCCTGTTAAACTTCTTTAAAGTGTAACTGGAGCCTCACACTCAGTCTGATTATGAAGTTTACAGTGGGACTCAAGCAGACACTTGGATACTTGTGGAAATTAAGTCTGGCAAGAAGCCTTGTTACGTTTACTGTTTCTGAATCTGCACTGTAAAAGAGTTGCATGTACATTAACAATAAAACAGGGCTGCCACCAAGTTACTGTTAGTTTAACAGTTTTCCTACTGTTATCTACATTACAGCATGCTACTACAATGATAGCGTGTCCTGAAGTGCTCCGCGTTCCTTTATTTCTTCCTTATACCACGTCAGCTATAAAAACCTGCACAATGTAAATCTTCCTCTCTCTCTCTTTACCACTGAGGGCATAGCCTGCTTGTTTGTAAAAGATTTACTGGAATTGTGACCAAGGTATGGAGGCATTTACATTTAGTATTAGCTCTCAATGGTGGCTCATGTGTTTCATCAAACAGGATTGGTGATTAAAATGAAATATCGACCTCTAATGTCAGTTAACATAATGTGAAAGTTTAAAAAAAAAAAAAAAGGGGCAACAGTGTCTGTCCAGCTTTCAGTGCTAAGGCTAATCCTGCTAGCATTCTATAGACAGACAATAAATAATGCATTATCAAAAAAAGTTTTATTTTTTACATAAATAGACTTGATTGGAAATGACTCGGAGTGTACAAAATCAAGCATACCTCATATTGAAATTATATAATTTGCACTCAACATTTTGAGAAGACCACTTTCTATATAGACTATGTACTAACCAATAATAATAATAATAATAATAATAATAATAATAACAACAATAATAAATTGCTGACTCAACATATTTATTCAAGACTTCAGCTTTTTTTTTTCTGTCCACGAAGTTACAGCCTCAGGGCTAATGCTGCAAAGTCCAATTAAGGGTTAAAGACACCCGGCCAAGGCTTGCTTACTGAGCAAGTCAAACCCCTCTGCTGTAGTCACACAAACAAGATATTAAAACACAAGGAAAAAATGGTTCCTTGACTACTCCTTGAGCAGACTAGACTATTCATTAATGAATAGAATGAATAGAATGTTTCGTAACCCATATGGAAAAGATATACATAAATCTTATAAAGTTTGTATCTGTCGTTGTATTTTTACTCAGTTGTATATAGCATTCGTATTCTATTTTTATCTTATTGTATATTTTTATTCTATTTTATTCTACTGTATATAGTATATTATTTTATTCTATTCTGTACAGCTGTGTACTGTATTTATTCTTATTGTATTCTAATTTTTGCGTCATAACTTTTGCACTGTCCACTTCCTGCTGTGACAAAACAAATTTCCCACGTGTGGGACTAATAAAGGTTATCTTATCTTATCTTATCTGTCTTGTGTGAAACTTGTATGAAAAGCATATAAGTGTGAAAACAGATATAAGATCCCTTGAAAAATTATATAATGAAACTTGTATGTTTTGGATACTTACTAAAACAATGTATGAAAGTAATGGGAAAGTGGCCACTTTCATGAGTAAATCATGTAATCCTTATATGATTTACTCATGGAAGTGGCCACTTTCATGAGTAATCACATATAAGTTTTTACTATTTCTTTTCCGTATGGGAAGGACCGATACAGTCCTTACGAAACAGGTATTCTGGAATATTTCTGTCTCTCGGCAGCTGCTGGGTGTGTGACGATGTTTCTAGAATAGTCTGTAGATAGTTCAAAAGGTATTGAAAAAAAAAACATGAAAGAGGCTGAGTAGGTGTTTTTAGTTAGAGTATCTGGCCTTATTTAATTCCTACCACCCCCACCCCTCCACACTAAAATATGTACATGAAACCTTGAAGATGAGATTAGGTCATGCTGTTTCAACATTTCTAGCATTTGCCTTGGTCTGCATGTAGTTCTTGGAATAAGTGTCATCACACGTGAAATATGTCTAAGAACAAATTTAAACTCAGTGACCTTCAAACCAAATGAATCAATCTCACGTTTATTCCACAAAATTATTACATTTTTGGGATGCCAACGAGTTGATCTATAACGCCGGCTTCCAGTCATTCTTTTTCTGTGGTACAGTACCATTTATCACTCCGCAGATCACTCAGAAGATTCATTGGCTACTTTTATCTTTTGTTCTTTACTTTTTAGCTTTCAGCAATACAAAGGGCAAATGCTTTGTAGTGTCTCGACACTGGCCTTGATAAACCCGGTTTGTGTGTGTATGGTAAATACTTAAAAATACTTTAAATGCTTTCCAAGTATTTAATGGACCTCCCCTTTTTGCTGCACTTAGTTTATAACTGAACCGGAAGAATATGCACTCCTACCCACAAAGCAACCCCCTCACCCAGTCTTCTCACAGGACTTGTGAACTCTCCATAAACCCCTGAGTCCCTCCAGAACACTGCTGTTCATCTGGAATCAGAAAAACTCCACACACACACACACACACAAAAAAACTTAAATAGACACTAAGGTACAGAGAGTGAAAAGAGAGAGGGACAGAAAGAGAGGCAGGCCAGATTGCAGAGGGCTGAATCAATGCAGCAGCCTGGTCTCTTTTTTTCCCTCTCCACTCTTTTTTCATTTTTTTCTCTCTCTCTCTCTCTCTCTCTCTCAAATGATTCACAGTGGAAAGAAAAGGCCTTTTCCCTGTCCTCAGTTGAACTCCACATCAGCTTCCTGTTAGAAAGGCAAGGAGGAAACACCCAGAGCAACACGCGCGTGCGCACATACACACACACAAACACACACAGAAGAAGGCCTTCACGAGTGGATTCTTCGCTGCCAGAGAAATTAGGTCAAGCACTTAAATGCCCTGTGCTGAGATGCACAGAGACTTCAAATGTGAAGTGTTTGGTGGGGACAGCAAAAGCACAGCAGAGCAACAAACACACATGCAAACAAACGCCTGTTGCACTCGGGATATACACACACTAGTGACACACTTTACATCTCATGGTTTTCCACATTATTAATACCAGAGAAAACTTAAATAATCAGTGACAGACGCCCACCTACTGTTAACACACCATCCATCTGTGCAGATTAGAACATGACAAGGTGGCTTTGTCACACACGATAAAATAAATGACGAATTAAAAAGGGGGTAAGGAGAAAAAAACAAACACATTTTAAAGCCCTTCTCAGGCAAAAAGCTAAAGGAGTATGTGTGAGTTCTCAAAACGCCAGATGACCTGATTAGGGAGCGACAGGACTCTGCACGCCTATACGAAACAGCTAAAGATGGGGTGGGCGAGCACAAGACGCCACACTGCAGCATCAGCCGTGCACGCCGAAAATCCCCCTCGCCAAACCCCACCGCCCCCCGCCCTCTGACCTGAAATGGCCTTAAAGTAACAACACACCACATCGCCATCACGTCCAATCAACTATTCATAGAAAGGCTGGATTGCGCTCCGTCCTGATCTTGCCGTTTAGGGTTTCAATCAATTGCGTGAGATATGAGAGTGTGGCAGGGAGTGTGGGAGGGAGGATGAAGCTGCTCTGAAAGCAAATGAGAGGAATTTTTTTTTTTTTTGCTGAATCCAAGCCTTCTTCTTTCCTACCATATTGGCCACTGCCAGTATGGCCCACAACGGAGCTCAGAGCTACAGGGTGGCGGACTGAATCTGAAAATAATCACGTCAATTTTCACTCCACAGCCATGTCCTTTCTTCTGTCCCACTGCCTCACTGTAGAGAAATGAACCCCGGCCCATTGTCTAAAGGCCACCTGTGTTTCTGCTGCATTCTCTCAAAGGCACATTTTCCTGTTTATAACCATGATTGTGCCTTATAAACATAAATCTCATAAGACACAGAGGGGAAAAAAATTGTGTTTGTGACCAAGCTATTGCAGCCAAGAGGTCGTTCTGACCCCGCTCAAATTTTTGGCTCCTGACAGTTGTGTTCCTCTTTCATGGTGAGAATGTGGCAATAGCACAACACGCCGTGTTTTGTCAGCTAACACAGATCTTTTCCTGGGAAACGCTGCTGCTTCTTTGCAAATTTGACCGACACTCCAGAATGAACAGAATCTTACCCGACCGGCCAACCAGGCTGCACACAAAGCCTTGAGAGCACACAGGCACACATACACTCACAAAGCAAAAAAGAAAAAAATGTAGCCAGATGAGCAGAGATGAACTGGAAAGGAGAGGCAATTCTCTAAGGTGTGCGTGGGCCACTTTTTAACCTTTAACCTGCGATGCGTTTCCGTGCCGGTGAAGTGTGGCCTGAGTGATATATCCAAGATAAACTGACAGCAGTAAATTTGAGTATGAAGCTAACAAAAAAGGAGACTTGTGCTTTAAATCAATAGAGTCAAATTTAATAAATTTACACCCAGTGCAAATTACAAAGCAACCATGCTTTTATGACTTTATGTGCAGGCTACATTTTTGCTTTAGTTGCTTTTAGAAGAGGACGATGATTTCCCCACTTTATTTATTATTTAGCAGGAATCTGTGTGATTATCTTCAGCCAAAAACAATCAAAGAACGAGGCTGTAAAAAGAACTTTGTGTGCTGCTACCTGGCCAGTGTAAAGCACCTGTTATTACTGCCCACATCCACGTGTAACATCAAACAAATCAACATCAAACGCATCACAAATCTAATATCTCACGGGGAATTTAAGCATGTGTCTTTTTAGAGAAGCTCAGTGTACACCTGAGACACAGCCAGGAAGCACCAAACGGGCCTTTAGAGCATTAAAAATACATTCAGCTACTGCTGAGTTAGCTGCTCTCGGATTTCAATGAATTAATTTCATCAAAAAAACTTCTCTTGAGGGGAAACCACAGTGACACATCAGGGGGAAACCGCACAGTTCTACCATATGTTCTCGGGTCTTACATACGCTCATCATCTCGGGGCGCACAGCTCCGGGAGACGCAGTTTTTACTAATTAAACGCACATTTTTCCTTTTCCCCCATCAAATCCTTCAAACTGATCACTTGGAGAGCGGTGATGTTTTCCGCTGGATTGACGCGATCCGCCCGGCTGCCTATCTGTGTTTGCATCGGGGACAACAAAGGGGGGAAGATTATGCCTCTCAGCTAGCAGAAACTAGGGCACGGGAAGGCGACCTCTTTTCTCGTATTGCGACGGAGAATTTACAGCCTGGCGACCATTTCCATCACCGCGTATAGACTATAAGGTGTCTGCGACTTGTTCTCAATTTTAAAGACTTTTTTAAGCTATTAAACAGTTTCGGGCACGCTGGAAACTTCCCCTAAGGACTGTTTCAGTCATAACAGTGTCAATATCCACTGACTCAGTCTGGGGAGGGTGTTGGTGGAGGGGAGACGCACCGCCACAATTCACACACGCTGTATTGCTTTTGCTTTTAAAACAAAACCTTTGATGTAATTTTACGCAATTGGCGCAAATTTAAAACTAAAAATAAACGTATAGAGCGGCATTTTAATACGCACCGATTCGTCTCAAGTTCAAGTTGGATGGTCTGCTCCGGCGTGTCCAAGTCGGCCGGCTTTATATTTCCTTTAGCCCACGGTGACTCGTCTTCCTTTTTGTGTCTGGAGCCACGAAACAGCAGGAAATTAAAAAAGCAAGAAAGGGACGATATTTGCAGACTGAGATGTGGAGGAGTCATCCCGTGACTCGGTCTCCGAGAGCCGCTGCTATGTCACGAAAGTGTTGCGTTTCCCCCCTTTCTTTCTCCGCGTCTCTCTCGGCCGGCCATGCAGCTCGGTTCAGTGGGGACAGACAGCAGACTGCGCCGTGCGACTCGCGCCGCCGGTGAACCAGATGCGTCAAGTTCAGCTGAGGTGAAACACGAGTTATACAACCACACCGCTGTGCGGTGCAGGCTGCTCTGCCGTGCTGCTTATTTAAAGACTCCAAAATACGAAGGGAAAGGGGGGGAAAAACAAAAGCCACCACTCTGAAATATCAGCAAAAACGAGCCTGCGTTCAGATGATTATTAAGGGCTGCCTCACTCCCTCCCCTCCTGCCCCCTCCGCGGACCTAAAAAGCACTATTTGCTGGCGTGAACTTTTGTCAGCCTCGTGAAAAAGACTATTTTAATTCCGCCGTCAACTTTTACTGGTGCTGAAAATAGCACAAATTACTGCCGCGAAATTATTTACAACAGTAAAAGAATATTAAAGAATTAAAAACAAAAATGCTATAAAACAACCACCAAGGTCACTGTAAAGTCACATATTTTCCATGGCACACAGGTTTTATGCCCCACCTTGAATTATTACACACATACCATGCCTTTTTCCCCACTTGCACCACCCCTGCCTTTGTAATTAACAATTACTCTGGTAAGTAGCTTTGCTGTAAAGTATTATTCATAAAAGTGTGTGCTTTTAAAACAAACTGCAAGTGTGAAGCTAAAGAAAAATAGCCACAAAACAAGCAAAATGTGCTGCGTCACCATCCGTCCGGGCTAACGGCGCTCTATTAACAGCACATTAACTTAAATGTAATTCTCATGTTAGCTTAGACCTTAACCTCCACAGCTAGGCTACTTCATTTTCTTCATCTGCTAGCTTTTAAAACACACTCCCCGAAAGCGGGACTTCACACACCTGTTCCCTCCCTGCAGTTAATGAGCTTCATTCAGTTTTGTCCTCTCTGCAAGTTAATGAAGACCTCCTTATTCATTCGACGCCACAGGTGACTCGCAGACAAGCCCGGACTTGTTGAGGTAGCCAGTTTGCCTCACAGACACTTTATTGATTAATCAGCTGTGGTGATGAGTCAAACCAGAGCTGCTGGAGCACGTCCCCGACATTTTGAAAAGTTGCTAAAAATAAATAAATAAATTTAAAAAAAAAACCCAAGTGGCAAAAGCGAGGGGACGTGGGAGATATTTTAATAGCTAATAATTTGATTTTTCATGCTGGGTCATACTAGTTTAATGTAAGGAAATGAAACTGTAATAGAGTCCGTGTACTAGGGGGGAAATGTTTTCCGAGAGAGTTTGTAGGGGAATTTTATGATTGGACTAAAAATAAATAGTGCGCATCTTTAGGTCTAAATCTTTTTTTTAATCTAAAATTATTTATAATAACATGGAAAGTTCATTAAACGTTATACTCCTTACACAGTGCTCTGCACAGTCACTCTTTAATAATGTAAACACACACAAAAGTGGCTTCCCTGTAAGATTTAACCTTTTCCTCAGGTATGTTACTGAGAAATGAGATTCTCTGAAGGCAAGGATAAAAAATTAACTTTTAATATTCCTCTGGAATGTGTAAGAACACACTCCCTCACCATCAACTGCTCAATGTAAATTAATAAAGGGGGACCAAAAAGTCAATTATTAAGGGAGCTAATTAATTAAAATCCTCCCTTAAAAATCATGGTAATAATATTAATAGGAAGAAAAACATTAAAAACACAGGTGGAAATATGTCAATGTGATTATTTTGTGGGAAAAAACTTAACACTAGTAACAGAAGTTGAACAGAAGCATGTTTGTCCCTCAGTTCGTGATCAAACCACTGCTTGTGTTAGTTGTTTTTTCTAAGCTCTGTGCACATTAGCACTGGAGCATCACACTGTGAACTAGCAGAGTGTGCAATGAGTGCACGTAAACCTGTATTTACAAGCGTACAGAACACCTATATTCACGAGCATGGAGCCATACTATAGGATTAGGAGTGTGTGTGTGTGAGAGAGAGAGAGATGTTACAGCTCAGCTGCCTATGGCCTGAGAATGTAGGCTATAGCTTACTGGGATTAGAAGGTAACACGAGTTCATATTATTAAGACAAACACACACATATTTAAAGCTGCAATAGTTCATGAAAAAAGGCTGTGTGTAAACTTTTATTAACTAAAGCCAATTATAAAAAAAAATAGGGTAATGTTTTTACTTACAGTTGTGATGTTTATAACTAATATATATATATATATATATTATAGAGATGATAATATTTTATTAACACACATAGGCGATAGTAATTGCTTAATATATTATTTTATGTAAGCGAAGAAACATCAAATTCTTATGTAGGGCTCAGGCTCATATTTGTTCTCACACACACACATACAACCCTGTTATTTAAATTTCTTAGATATTAATAAACATATTCATTGTAATATAATATATTAGTAATTGTGGTCAGCACAGAAGTGTGAAGTTATTGTGTAATGTAAGTATTCTGTATTTTATTATTTCACCATGTCCTTTCTTTGTAGAAAAGCATTTTTCATAAGGCACTTTTGAACTTTTTTTTCTTTGTAATCACCTTTAGAAATGTTTTCACAGTTCCTTAAATTTTGTAAATGAACATGCTCAAATTATAAAATACCTTCAACAGGAAATATATTTAATTATTAATGATCTTTTTTGTCTGTTTTCCCTCAAAAGTGGACCTGAAACTATAAAATCCCCACGTTTCCTTTGCCTGGGAAGAAAAAAAAAAAGCTCCAATAATAATAAAGTGAGCTTCAGGTAAAACAAATATTAGGAGATGTTAATGTCACTGGTGGATTTGCTGCAGATGTCGTATTTGGCACTTATCATCCAAAATTTTACACCCAAATTGACTTTTGCACTCAGTACTCATCAATGTTTCATTTGACTGAATTTGAACACTCACTCGCATCAATTACGTGAAAAGTATTGACGAGAGAAAAGCACCGAGTCCCGCCATTAACCTTCTTTTACGGGACTTTTTCATAAAATCGAACCGGCAAAGTGTCCGAGGAGGACGGGCGAGGAGACGAGATGGCGTAAACAGTGTTGAATCTAGTGGAGTTGGCCAGGGTGCTCTATTCGGCACTTCTAATTTGCAATCAGACCCTCTCTTTGAGCCCACGTCTCCAGACAGTGTGGATGGCAGCTGAGACAAAGCTAGCATTCTCCACCGCCCAAGGCCCCTCTTAGTTTTATTTCAGGCCACTGCTCTCAGACACAGACCATTCTGCATGGAGTACCCAAAGACAGCAGCCACAGAGAGGGAAGAGGAGGAAGGAGCAAGTTTGGAGGAGGTGTGGAAAAAAAGTGGGAGGAGGCTTTGTCAAGGACCAAACTGCTGTCTGTCTCTGTCTCTCCCTCCTCCACCTACCCTCCTCTCACTGCTCCTTCCTCTCCTTGGATGGTACCCCTGGCCTGGCCCCCACCCCCGCCCTCAAACTTACTGCAGTGCAGTGCCACGCCCCACCTAGTACCACGAAAAACACTTGAGACATGATCGATCACACCACTCAAACTGGGGCACGCCAATCATGACCTCCTTCCCCTTCACCATCTCTAGTTTTTTTAGCTCACGGGAGCAAAAAAGCTCTTTTGAGATTAGCATGCCGAGTGTAAGAAGTTTGATAAACTCCTCAACAGCTCACTTCGGCACACGCACCAAATGGGTAATACATGGCACATCATCTCATGGTGCAGTTGTAAAAGTGAAAATTGAGTCACTCTGGTGGCAGACTTTAGTGCCACAGCAACCCAACTCTTTGAATACTTTAACTCTTTGAGTGCGACAGATTTTAATTTGGCAGGGAAGCTGGTGTCCGATCGGCAGTTGGCACAAGTTCAAAGATTGGAGTCAGAATCAAGGGTCAAAAAGTCTCCGCTGCCTTTGTGCTTGGTATTCACAAAGTATAAAGTTTTGTGTATGCAGTAAAGCTTGGATGAGCATACTTGTTTTTACAGTAACGCCCTGTTTAAGGAGATAATGAACAGGAGTTAGGGATTTTCTGGGGCTTACAGGGATAACCGTGACGCTGATAATTCAGCCCAATATATATAAATACGTAATCTAACTCCTTTAGAAAAAAAAGCGTGAGCACGCATGCCTGCGCTGTTATCCACACGCCGACGTTATCGCCTCGCTATCAGCAGTCCTGTGGTCGTACGGTTCGTTGTGGCTTAGTTGCCACAGGTAACAGGTCAATGATTACCAAGAGGGCCGAGGGTGTCCTCAAGCTCAGGTCATAGTCAGTTCCCCGAGAGAGAGAGCAGGACAGCAGTGCGCCGCAGCTGCCGTGTGTAACTCTAGGCCTGAGTGTTGAAAAGCGGCACTGTGTTCACATTGGGCATGTGGCCTGTGTCAGGGGGCAGGGGCCACACTCCAGTAGCCGGTGCTACTTTATGAGGAGAGGATGGGATCTTTTTATTTGGCTTTCAAGCAGTCGCTTCTAAAACCAGGAGGCACTAAAACTTTCACATGATGTCGCTTTAAATCCACAGCTGTACCTTCCCTCCTCATCAATAACGTCTCCAAAAACGGAGAAAAGATCTGCCTCAGTCCTCTTTTTTGGTTTGAGCTGATTCCCACAGATTGTGTCACTTATTAGCTGCTTTTCCTGCACTGGACCGAGGAGCACAATCCCTCTCAGTCTCACTCGAACACATAACAATGCCAGGAATGGCTGCATTTGTGCAGTACGACCATTAGGCAACATCCAACTGCCTAATTCATTCAATTTCTCCCTCTGCCGTGCCAGCACAATTGGCCTGAAAGGGCACAGGTGGGGGGCAGAGGAGGCTGGTAGGCTTGCTGCTAAAGTCGCTCACACAGTTCTAACTGTTCTAGGGGGCTTGGATGGGTTAAAGCACGGGAGCTGGTTGGGAAAATCGTGTCCTTGAGGCGATCCCAGCCGGGCTCGGCAGTCACCCTGACCCTTCTCTCTCTCTGAGCTTGACCCTGACTATATCTTTAGCAGTGAACGGTACAAATTACTCGATCGCACGGTTCTGCTTTCTCCCCTCTTGAATCCCTTTCTCTTTCTCACTTTTCTTTTTCTCCGGATGACCACAAATAGCCATTGTCGCTGCAGACCACGAGAACAATTGGGTTCTTATGCTGTGGCTGGTCAGGGATGGGAGGGTAAACTTCGGCAATGACTGCACTAAGTAAATTATAGCTCCAATGGCCTGTGTGGTTTGGAGAGGCTGCGCTTTGTGAGAGGTCCTGCAAGTAAAACCACCGGTTCAGCACATTCGCTGCACTCTGCAGCGAAAAACTGACGATAGCATGGCAGACTTTTTTGCATTTTTTTTTGTTTCGCTGGTTTCTTCTCGATCTACCAGAGCGGTTCATAGTCGTGTAAGCACTTTGAGCTAACA